GGAGCAGACGCCGGCCGAGCCGCGGAGCAGACGCCGGCCGAGCCGGGGACCAGACGCCGGCCGAGCCGTGGAGCAGACGCCGGCCGTGCCGCGGATCAGACGCCGGCCGAGCCGCGGAGCAGACGCCGGCCGTGCCGCGGAGCAGACGCCGGCCGAGCCGCGGAGCAGACGCCGGCCGTGCCGCACCTGCTCCTGCAGCTGAGCACAGCGAGTAGCTGGGGAGAGAGAGGGGGGCCCTGGGCAGAGGGCCCAGCGCAGGGAGACATTGCCAGAGAAGAGATCTAGCAGGCTGGATTCAGGGGGGGTTGTGACCCCTACAGGGGGGCTAATGATGGGAGAAGGGTCCTGTCCTGTCACGTAGAGCCTGAGGGCGTGTGGCCACCCCCAGAGCAGAGTCCGACCCGCGGTGTCACCACAGCGTGGCCAGGGCCTGGACAGGGGGCCTGCGACATGTGAGGAGCAGACTGGGGGCTTTCCTTACGGCCCAGAGACGCTGATTGTGCCGTCCCCGTGCCCACAGGGCGGGGTCTTGTTTTCCTTTAGCCTTTTCCAGTTTTCCATATTTTTCTTGCTGTTTAATAAATCGTATGTGGTTTGAACGTAATGCAGGGCTCAGTGGGTCAGGGACGTGGCCACCCCAGGGTGGAAGGGGAGCCCTTGCGGGCAGGCAGGCCCCTGGGTAAAGGGCGTGGAAGTGAGGACTCAGCTCCTTTCGCTAAGCCAGGAATGCTCCCCACAATAGCGGGACTATCCCCCGCTCACACGTAGTGGTCTGTTAAACACAGTATCTCAGTGTTTCAATGCTGCTTCTTTCAGGGACTCGGGAGGCAAGTCGCGAGAGCGGCCGATTTAAATAAGTTTGGCTTTGCCACTCGCTCCTTCGCCTGCTGCAGCCCCCACTCACTACCCCAACATTGCATGGGCCCCAAGAATCCTCCCCCTGCATTTCCAGGTACCCTTGATCCCAGTCCAGTCACAGTCTGCTCCTCGAAGTTACCTCCTTTCCACAGGCCACACTCAGCATGTCACACCTGGGGGCTAGTCAGCTGCCACCCCCCGATCAGCCCTGGCTGGTTCCCATTCGTTAGCTGGGAGTTCAGTGGCACGGCTCCTTGGCCAATTTCCCAGTCAGAGTCTGGTAGCTGCCAGCCCCCATGACCACCACCTGGCTTGGCTCGCAGCCCCGTTTACCTGCACAGGGGCTGCCTGACCTCCCCGTCGAGAGTCAGGTGATTGACAACTGAAAACATGCCGGACCCAGGAACAGCCAAGACCAAGTCCCCGTCTCCCCCAGCCAGTTCCACTGCTGAACACTATTCCTGAGCCCAAACGTGCACAATTCGGACCACGCGTGCAGGCCCCGACCAGAAGCCTGTGCCAACTCCAGTGCGCTGAGCCACTGCCGCTAGAGCTGGGTCGCCCTCTCACCCCGCACAGCCCCTTGGCACTCACGCACTTTCTGGATTTTCCTGATCTGGTCAGAGAGCGTGTCTAACAGGCGTGTTTTCAGGAAGTCCGTCACTTTGGCCACTCGGCCATCAATGTAGTAACTGGAATGAGAATAAGAAGGCAAGAATCAGACAGGAACTACAGCAAGGAGCTGGGAGTAACTCTGTCCCTCACCTTGTCTTCTGGGCATCTGCCCAGACGGCTCCTTTGCTCAGGCTGCTCATGGACTGGGACAGTCCCTGCCTCATTCCCCCTCCCCGAGCACTGACCCCTCTCCTCCACGTGCTCCTGATCATGTCAGGACGTACCAGTTTGTTCAAGGCATGGAGCGAACTGCACCTGAAGTGCCAAACGCTCCCCTGCAGCAGGAGGAGCTGGGAGCTTGCTCACTACTCTTCCGATCACTACGGGTAGATAACAGGGCAATAGGCAGGTAGATACTTCGCAGGGAAGTCGGAAGACCAGGAGCTGGCAGCCGGACCGCACAGGGATGTTGTAAGGTGTTACTGATTACTGTCTGTCAAGTGCTCTGAGATATCCCACTGAACGGGGGGCAGCACCCCGCAGCAGAGGGGTAGAAATTCTAAATCTGAACATGTCAGACTGCTGTGTAAGTCTGCGTGACTCCTGGCTTCTCTTTGTGAGATCAGTGCTCTGTCCTCGGACTCCCCCAGAACAGCAGCTGCACCCAATGCTCACAGAGACTATTTCCATCCTTCTCTACCTTCCACCTCCGAGCTCTCGCATACAATACACATCCCGAATCCAGAGGGGGCACCTGCTGCCAGTCCACTGCCCATGATGCCCAGGGACAAATGGGCAAGTTTTGTTTTCTGTGGCCCGAGGCACCAGGTTCTGGTGAGTGCTTAAAGCAGTGGGGAGAGGAGAGCACACTGAAGTACTGTGTGACAAATCGTCCCCACGAAGGAGCCCACACGAGGTCTATGCACCACGGACATCCCAGCCAAGCCCCAGCAGACTTGTGATGCACAATCCTTCAGCACAGGGGTCAATTTCACACCATGCAAGATGGATGCCTGGTACCACACAGAGTGACAAGAAAAAATTGGGACTAACTGGGGCCTGGTGGTCAGCCTACCAGCAGACTTGTAATTGTAAATGCCCTATAGTCAAAAGTCTCTCTCTTCCGTCAGGTCCCTTCTAGAGACACGTTTCTCTGCGCTGCCCACAAATCAAACCGTAACCTATGCCACTCCAACACCTGCTCCACTCCAGCGGCTCGTAAGCAAGAGACGTACGAAAAAGGGACCTTGCAGTATGTCTTGTCTTATCTGTGTCTTTAGACTGCAAGCTGCTAGGGGCAGAGGCTGTCCTTAGCGGTGTTTCGTACAGCACTTGGGATAATGTTCTTAAATCCCTGACCATTCCGTGAACAGACCACGAACAGCTGGCACCAATGGGACTATGCTTTCTACAAGCGAGTTACAAACACAGTGGTCCCCGGGGATGGCAGATATTTAGTAAGGGACGGACGCTCTCAAGAACTGAATTGAAAAGCTCATTTAGACGGGCTTGGATGAAAGCACTGTCCCATGGGTTGAAAACTAGCTGAAAGATCAAACAAAGGGTTATGTTAACGGACATGGATGGCAGTTTGGGAGAAGTGCTGCAGGGATCGATGTCACTTGACCCCTTCGTTACTGATCTGGACAGAGCGGGAATGGCCCACTAATGTATTCACAAGTGATGATGGGTGGGGAGGTTCTATGCACATCAGTGACAAAAAGAACAACGTTACCTGAGATTAGAGCCGGGGCAGGAAATAGAGTGAAAACCAGCTTGGAAACTACAGCTCACCCCGCTGGGGAAGGGAATGTGACAGGCAGGTGTTCAGTGGGAGGGAGATGGCTGGGAAGCAGGGATCATAGAACGGCCTAGAAGTGAAGGAAAGCATGTTACTCATGAATCCGTAACATGACACAGCAGCAAGAGAGAGCAATGTGATTTTGGCTGCAAGAGCCCAGAGGACATCCTGGAGTGAGGAGGGAACGGGCATCCTGACACGGGGAGGGCAGGTGGCGTGGCTCTGCCGTTAGTTCTGGGCACCACATCATCAGAAAGACACTGACTGGCTGGAGTCCCAAGAAAAGCAACAGAAAGGCTCAGCGGACTGGAGGAACTGCTTCCTGAGGGAAGCTGGAAATGCCGAATGTGTCTAGCTTGGCTAAGTGGTAAGTCAGGGGACTTGACGCAAATCTATGAAGGGTTAAACACCATCGAGGAAGAAGATTTATTTAGCAGAATAAAAGGGAACATTACTAGGGGTAATGAGATGAAAGTAACAAAAAGAAACATTGAGCTTCAATATCAGGAAAGCCTCCGTGAGAGCCTGTGGAACTGTCTTCATTTAACCAGGGGAGGGTAACGACAGAAGACTCCATACCATTCACTAGGGACAGCTTGCAAATCTAATGTCATGGAAAGTTCTTAGCTACTCCAGCAATGGATGCTACAGGAACCCGAAACTGGACATATAGATTTAAAACTAAATTAGGCCAAGCCCTCTGAGAAAGAACTGTCAGGAACTCTCCTGCTTTGGCACCACGATGGACTGAATAATGGGTCTTTTCCATCACTATTTTACATGGTTCAAACTTAGGCAAGACACTTTAAAAATCAATGTGTGACTTTAGCAATTGTAACGTCTTTACAGCAGGAGAAATGTCTGCCAGGCTTGGATTACTTCTGGTTCTACACACAAGACGCAATGAAATCAAGTGTGCTGGATAAAAGAGTCACGTCAATCCAGCCTCAGAAAAGCCAAGAGCAGCCACACAAAGGCAGAGTATTCACAAGTCATTAAAGATCTCGCCCCCAGAACAACGATTTCTATTTAGGAACACGGCAGCTAGATCAAAGGGAGGATTCACCACAAAGTGACAATGGGTATATATCAATATGGAGGGGCAGCCCTATATCTGCCTTTCAAACATTGGAAGAAGAGGTCTTGGTCATATTAGCAAATGGAATTTCTAGGGAAAGGCTGTATAGCGATTTTAGCACCATGTAATGCTTTGTTTGTTTGTGTGGTTCATAACCTCCAGACAGCATCTGCAGCTCAGAAATGATATGGTCAGAGACACCACACACTTTACTAGTGACATCTACGGCTTTTAGAATTAACTTGCACCCACAATCTGACAGGAGAGGAATGGTGTGAGGAAAACACCCTCCCTCGTGGGAACTACTGGTGATAAGGGGCACTCTGGTCCTGCGCGCACCGGGGAGACATCGGCGCCCAGGAATGGGGACTCCCATGTTGAGGACACCAACAGATCCTTCTAGTGGAGGAAATGGTGCGGTGCCGGCAGGAGGTTGGTGCCGGCACTTCATTGGTGTAGCAGTCGGTGCTGGTGGCACCGCTGTTGTGTCGGCGTCGGAGGGGGCGTCAGAGTGTGGGTCTCGGCGCCGTGTCCTTCAGCAGCGTTGACAGTGCCGTGGTGGAGGAGGTAGGCTCGGTCTTGCCTCTCAACTCTGCACTGAAGCGCTGGGGATCGGCAGAGGCCACTGTGTGGGCGGCGCTGGGGGACCCCAGTGCCTCGTGTGTGCTGAGCCGCGGTGCGGTCGGCACCGAGGAGAGTGACCTGGTTGGAGAATGCTTTCTCTTGCTCTGCTCTCTGCGAGGCGAATTAGAAGCTCGCTTCCTCGATGATTGTTTTGGGGAATGAGCCTTGGCTGAGTTCGATGGAAAGGTCTCCAGTGAGCTATTCCCGGTGGGGTCTGTTGTCCTGGGTCCAAAGCTGGCCAGAGCTACTTTTCCGTCAGGATGAGTTTAAGCCTCAGGTCTCTGGGCTTTGAGGTTGCTGCAGTGAGCGCACTTCTAAGGGATGTGCAACTCACCCACACAACAAACACACTGCAAGTGTCCATCCGACACTGGAACCACTTCCCTGCATGTCATGCAGTGTTTGAAGCTGGGTGAACCAGGCATTTTTTCCAGTTCACTGCCATTATCCTACCTAGTCTACAGATTTCATTTTTTAATTTTTTTTTGAGACTGAAGAAAGAAAGGTAAGTGTGAGGTTCTGTACCTCGGGGGAACACCCTACACCCCCATATTCATCCTTGTAAAATGATTGTGTGGTGTCCAATGCAAAGTTTGTCACACTGGGTGTCTTCGGAAGGCTCATGGTGCACTGAGCATTGTTGTTATAGTGATGTTATAGGTTGTAATTTCATGTATAACAGTTATGAGGCTGAACATGTGTCTTCATGGCTTAAAACAGGCCCAGGCAAAACTCTCCCGGAGCAGAAGTGTAGTTCACACCTCATCAGGGCATGTATGGGACAAACCCAGCCCAGCCTCACAGGAACAAAGGACGCTGGCCTAGGCAGCAACAAAGGATCACCCCCCTTCCCTTGGTCAGGTTGGGACTGTGATGAGGTAATGCTCACCTGACCCTGAAGGGGGGGGCAAAGCCAAGAGGGAAGAAAGAACATGATAAAAGGGAGAGACTTCGCCATACTCTTCCTTTCTCTTCCACCTCCATCTACACACATCACCACCAAGCGACTGAAGCGCTGATCAAAGGGGAGAGCCTGGCTGAAGGGCAACCAGGCAGCCTGTGGTGAGAAGCATCTAAGTTTGTAAGGGCACTGAAAGTGTTAAGAGCAGCTTAGAATGTGTTTTGCTTTTATTTCATTTGACCAAATCCGACTTGTTGTTCTTTGACTTATAATCAGTTAAAATCTATCTTTATAGTTAATAAATCTGTTGGTTTATTCTACCTGAAGCAGTGCGTTTGGTTTGAAGCCTGTCAGAGACTCCCCTTGGGATAACATGCCTGGCACATATCAATTTCTTTGTTAAATTGACAAACTCATATAAGCTTGCAGCGTCCAGCGGGCACAACTGGACACTGCAAGATGGAGATTCCTAGGATTGTGTCTGGGACTGGAGATATTGGCTAGTGTCACTTGCTTGCACAATCCAAGCAGTTTACATGCCAGAGGCTGTGCGTGAACAGCCCAGGGGTGGGGGTTCTCACAGCAGAGCAGGGAAGGCTGGCTCCCAGAGTCAAGGATTGGAGTGACCGAGCAGATCACCGGTCCAGATAACACCCGGGGAACGTCACAGTAA